TGACGTCTGCCAAGTCTATGGGTGACGATGTAGCACGTCTGGATGTGCTGCGCGACCCGAAACGCATGGCGGCGCTGCTGGCTCGCGCTCTATCCACCTCGATATTAGAAGACACAACAAATGCCAGCGCAGCTAGACGCGGAAGCATAGAAGAAGAGGATGAAGAGGTTGAGAAGACACAAGAAGAATTCCAGGAGCTGGGAAGGCGATCAGGCGCAGAAGCATCGGGCAAAAATTCTTCTTTGAATCTGATGATCCAGTCTGCAGTCGATGATGATGATGATGACGCTGGAGAAGAGGATGAAGAAGACGAAGACGAAGAGAAACCACTAGACGAAGTCGAGCTAGAGGCCGCCGCCGCAGCTTTGCAAACAGCTGCGCGCATTGTCGAGCAGTTGCGGATCAAGAAGGCGCTTCAGACGAGTCAGACGACGGGAAACCTGCAATTTAATCTTGAAGAGCTGATGTCAGTGTCGCTACAGCGAGCGCAAACAAACCCCTTGGCGACTGGTAATGGACCAGGTGTGCCGATGCCACAAGCGCTTTTGCGCACAAACTCGACGTGCTGTGGCTGCAGCAAGTCATTTAATCCATTTCATCGTAGCAAAAGCTGTGCATCGTGTGGGTATGCATTTTGTCCGAGATGCTCGTCGAAGAGTTTTGTATTACCAACGCGTTTTGGATATGGGGAAGAATTGATGCGTACTTGTGATTTGTGTGCAAGGTGGTATCAAAATGCATTGGACCGATACTTTGAAGCGATGGAGCTGGTGACGGACCAGGATCATAACTCTGCAATCCACCGCGATAGTGTGATACGCGAAAATTGCCCATCAGTGTCCAGTAACAGCATTATAGACCCAACACCAAGCGCAATTAAAGAAATAGGTTCTTTGGTAGCGAGACGTCGGTTTTCTGTTTCTTCCCCAACACCAGTACCTTGCGATGAAATCGTGGATGATAGTTGCGATAATGAGGATCAGCTCATCACATCGGTCTCGACGACGTCTTTCAAACGGCGTCATCGTTTTTCATCCATGTCATCATCTCCATCGGTAAACAGGACCAAACCTTGGTTTAGTGGTCACTTGCGTGCAATACATGTGAATGATCGACTTCCACGAAAAAGAAGAGCTCGAGGAGATAGCGAAGGGGGTGAGACTGTAAATAATAGTCCTAATTTGCTGTCGCAGCAATCTCGCTCAAGCAGTGTGACGTCTTCCAAAAGCAGATACATAGACGAATCTGCACATGATACACGTGGTCAGCGAACATATTTAGTGGAAAACAGTCCGATCGATTTGCAAGATGGAGCATACGTGGTAGGTGCTTCGCAAAGCTCACATATTAAGGGCAAGGAACCACGATTGACAACTTCTGAGAAGCCTGTTGTGGAAACTGTATGCACTAATTCTACGCGACCTCAAAGGAAAACTCGATCCAAATTCTCGAGATCAGCAAGTTTTGATCTAACAAATCTACACGCTGCTGTATCGCCTATTTCATCGCTGGAATCACCAGGAATGGCACGCTCTAATACATTTGGTTCAGATGAAGGGAAAATGTTTGCTCTTGACGTTGGTAGCAATGGTAGTGGTCGCTCGAACAGTTTGCGGTCACAGAAAGCTTTCGATGACAGTGATATCGTAGATGAGCGTGCAAAGCTAGATTCTGCAGATGTAAAGTTGAAAAGCGAAGCAAAGCTTTCAGCAGCGGTATTGCGGTTTGCAGTCTACGAAATGGGTGGAAAAGAAAGCACGGGATTGCGCAGGACTTTTGGATTTGCAAAAGCAAATCCGGTACTGGATCGGTACACGCTAGAGTTCGATTGTCGCCAACGAATTGTTCGAGCGAAATCCGTATTTCTGCATCGTTTCTGGTCGTTTCATTGCGACTCTGTTCAATCATTTAGTTTTGGAACCTCAGATGGAATGGCACATCTTATCATATTTAATGGGGGACAAGGCAATCTATCGCTTAAGCTGAAATTTGCAAATGATGATGAACGAGAGCAATTCAAGCAGGCTTTAGATAGTTGTCGATCCACAACACTGGAAAGGATACGTGAGTTTGCAACACGAAATGCAATGTCACTTCCTGCGTGGCCTGAATGTCCCGCATCTCCTGCATTAGACGACATTCATTCGCCGACGCCCCCAGAGCCAAACACTACGTATTCAGCAAACGCGTCGACGACGGTCGAGTCAGAATTGAGTTTGACACATGATACAAATTGTAGCATTACAGCTGACTTTCCGATGTTGCAGTCGATTCACGTGCCGCTATTACCTGGAGAAGCTGTGGTCAAAGACACGGAGCTACAAGCAACATTGCTTATCGGCCCGGCTAGTGAGACATATGAATCCGCTCAGGTGTGGGGCAGGATCCGCGGAAAAATCGCCGTGACAAACTACAGAGTCATCTTTACACCGTTCGACGAAGTTCCTGTTCAGTCGCGATGTTGCGGTGGGCAGGGTGGCGTAGCATACATCCCGCTGTTCGGAATTACGCATGTTCAGCTCCTTTATCC